CCCACCAATTTGGATCGCTTGTTGTTCCCTTGTCCCTGGGTTTGTTAACACCTCTTCCCTTCCACCCACCTCCCCCTCTCCCATGCCGTCTTTGTCATTCTTAAAACTTAGTAAATGTTCTCTTTATATTTGAGATTGGGGTCCCTTTTATACCTAAAACAGAAGAAAGCATAAATATACACTTTATATTGTGTATTCTTTTTAAAAAATCATTTTATTGAGGGTTCTTATCATTCTTATTACAATCTATACATCAATTGTATCAGGAATGTCTGTACATATGTTGCCATCATTCTTTTCTAGACAATTACTTTCTATCAAGCCCTTGGTATCAGCTCCTCTTTCACTCCCTACCTCCCAACCCTTCTGACCCCTTGATAGATTATAAATTATTATTATTTTCTTATCTCACACCGACCACTGTCTCCCTTCCCCTATCATTTCTGTTGTTCTTCCCCTTAGAGGGGTGTGTGTGGTTGTGTGTTGATCATTATGATTGGTCCCCCCTTTCCCCTATCGATCCCCCTTCTCGCTACCCATCTGGTGTCGCTATTCCCATTCTGCTCCTGGGTTGCATGTGTTGTGAGCTCTTATCTCTCATCTACACCTGTGTACATGCTCTGGTCTAGTCCGAAGTGAGAGGCATCAGTGGGGTCATGGTGGTGGTGGGTGAGGAAGCCTCAAGGAATCAGAGGAATATTGTGTGTTTCATTGGTGCTTTAATGCATCCTGGTTGATTCATTCCTTCATTGTGACCCCTCTGTAGGGGATGTTCCATTGTCTACAGATGAGCCTTGGGTCTCTGTTCCGACTCCCTTCATTCTCAATCATATAATTTTGTTTGTTTGCTTGATTGTTAAGGGTCTTCTGATGCCTGTTACCTGGTCCCGATGACATGTCATGATCACACAGGCTAGTGTGCTTCTTCCATGTGGGATTGTTGTTTCTCTGCTGGATGGCTGCTGGTTTACCTTCAAGCCATTGAGACCCAGATTGTGTATTCTTCACAACTTTGGGGCAGGTAAAAATTCTTTGAACACTAAAAATTTTGATCCCATGCAAATGATAATCTGAGTCTTATTAAAACTTAAAAATTCCACTTGTATATAGACTGTTAACCCAGGACTGATGAACTTACAGAGACAACAAGTGGAATAAGGTTTCCTGGGGTGTACAGTGGGGAAGGGGGTGCTAAAGGGGATCTGATATCAAGGAGTTCAAGACGGAAGAGAGTGTTTTAAAACAATGTGTTAGCAACTGTACTGCTTGATGTGCTTGAACTATGGAATGATATGTTATCTGCATGAGCTCCCAATAAAATGGTTTTGGGGAAAAAAGACTTTAGAACTCAAAATGGTGCATATACATTATATCTCAATAAAGCTGCTAAAACAACCCCAAACAAACTGAAAAATGCAAGCACAGAAGGGGAGATGATATATGCCATACTTCTACCCGACAAAAGATTTTTGTATTAAAATGCATGCAATGCTCTTGAAACTCAACAGCAAGACCAACCTAATTTTAACGATCTGGGTATTTCATAAAAGAAGATATACAAATGGCCAGCACATAGGGAAATGATTCTAGCACCATCAGACATCAGGGAAATGCAAAATGAAGCCAGGAGAAAAGACCATGAAACACCCCTCAGAAAGGCAAGAATGAAAAAGACAGACAATGACAAGCTTTGAAGATGTTGATGAACTGGAACTCCTACCCTACAGGTGATAATGTAAAGTTGTAC